ATGTTTATATTTTGCTACTCTGTACATTTCCCTCTTTTACTTATCTTTTGTTTATCATTCATAGTTGGTTCTTGCCTGAAATAAATTGTTGTCTCATCCCGAAGTTGGTTTTCCCTAATTTTCCACGTGGCAATATTGTCGTCGGTCGTCTACTCTTTTTAAGGAGACAGAAGCAATTTTGTTCACACTTGGAGACGTGGAAAAGCCAACAGATTGACCATCCAATATATACGTATATAAACCTAGCTAGTGAGAGATGGCTTAAAAGCAAGAGTCTCGCTATCTATATAGAAACATTCGTGTCTTAATGTCTTCATGCGTTATATATACGAGTAGATGGCGCGTTATTGATTTATATTAATTTATAATATGATGCACTAGCGCGCCATCTGTTATCAAAATTCAAAACTATTTTAAAGGCGTAAGATTCATTTTGATATTAAACAATTTCCACTGCCCTTACTGCAATGGAAAAATTAATGGGAGGTCCTAGCTCATCAGTGGTGAACCCTCCCAGCGGTTTCGCCAGTTTCTCATTAATTTTTCCATTGCAGTAAGGGCAGTGGAAAATGTTTAATTTCAAAATGAATCTCACGCCTTTAAAATTGATATTTGCGGAAGAGCGATTGCTCGAAGCATATTATATATTTATAAATGTATGTAATTCTACTGTCCTCAAAGCTTATGTCCATAGTTCTTCTAAAATACCCATTCAAAGAGTCTACCATCAGTATCACTATAAAAGGAAGTTCCAAAAATGCAATATAACAGCGGTATTGTAGATTAAACTGGCGAAACCGCTGAGAGGGTTCACCACTGATGAGCCAGGCCCTCTCATTAATTTTTTCCATTGCAGTAAGGGCAGTGGAAATTGTTTAATATCAAAATGAATCTTACGCCTTTAAAATAGTTTTGAATATTAATTTAAGTTTAACTTGTCCTTATTGTTTGCCGAAGAGCATTACTCGATGCAAATATTTAAACGTAATTCTACTGTGTCCTGAAAGCTTATATCCATAGTTTGATTAAATACGATTTCTAAGATTCTACTTTTCAGTGTAGCATATAAAATCAGAATGATCCAATACAGTATTAGAGCTCTAAAGAAGCAGTCTGGTAGATTAAATTGGTGAAACTGCTGGGAGGGTTAACCACTGATGAGTCAAACTCTCCCAATATTTTTTCATCGCAGTAAGGACAGTTGAAGTTTTGATTTATTTGTGAAAAGAAACATTCGCGTCTTAATGTCTTCATTCCTTATAAATCGTTTACCAAAGCATTCATATAAATTCGGTTTTAGACGAATCGAAACAAGTCGTCAACCACGAATACTCATTTAAGAATTCTAAGGTTGGTATAATGTGCAAATAGGGATTTCAAAAAGCTAAGCCCCTTAATCAGATTGATTGTCCAATTTCACTTTGTCATCAAAGAAAGAAATGGCATCAATGGGATATCAATGGTAACAATTGATTAGAAGACTCAATACAATTATTTAAATACAATATAATGAGGTTTATGATTGTAAAACGACATTTGAAAATTATCCCGCATGTGTTTCTTTTAAACTAAAAATCGAAATTTATTTTAAAGGAGAAATAACGATTATTTCTAACCTATATTCATAAGCCGCATTATATTGTATTATAAATTACCTCATATAATATTTACGAACGGAAAAAATATGTCCAGGGTAGCCTAGTGGACATGGCATCTGCCCGGTAAGCGGAACACTGTGGGTTCGATTCCCATCCCTGGACACTTTTATTTTTCCGTTTATCATTACTCTTCATAATTCATCCTTTCATACTTCTTTCCTAAGGTTAGAAATAATCGTTATTTCTCCTTAAAAATAAATTTAGATTTTTCGTTTAAAAAAAACACATGCGGGATAATTTTCAAATGTCGTTTTATAATTATTTATATGTCAAAAGAAAGTTGACAAACTTTCTTAGATCCTTCCATCCTTCCTCAAAATTTGTACACTTATACAACCGTATATATTTCCCTAACACACTTTATCTACCTTTTATTTATTCCTTTATTATCTTTATTTTTCTTTCTGTAACAATTGATTAGAAATATCATATTTATTGTTTAAATTGTCAAAAAATAACTTGTCCATCTTCTCGGTGGTCCAGAGATGGTGTCCCCTACCCAGAACGGCCCCCCACACCCCCTCCCTGTAGTTATTAATAGACGTCCTGAAGTGTGGGTAGGATCTCAGTTGTTGTTGTTGTCGTGTCCAATGAAGAGCCTCAGATGTCCCCATATATCTCTATCACAGCAGTCGTTCTCTATCTTGGGTGTGTAAAGCTGCTGTTCTGGGTCCATGTCAATTTTCTGTTGTTGTTGTCGTGTCCAATGAAGAGCCTCAGATGTCTCCATACATCTCTATCACAGCAGTCGCAATGTCCTCGATCTTGGGTGTGTAAAGCTGCTGTTCTGGGTCCATGTCAATTTTCTGTTGTTGTTGTCGTGTCCAATGAAGAGCCTCAGATGTTTCCATGCATCTCTATCACAGCAGTCGCAATGTCCTCTATCTTGGGTGTGTAAAGCTGCTGTTCTGGGTCCATGTCAATTTTTTGTTGTTGTTGTCGTGTCCAATGAAGAGCCTCAGATGTCTCCATGCATCTCTATCACAGCAGTCGCAATGTCCTCTATTTTGGATGTGTAAAACTGCTGTTCTGGGTCCATGTCAATTTATTGCTGTTGTCATTGTGTTCAATGAAGAGTCTCAGATATCTCCATACATCTCTATCACAGCAGTCGCAATGTCCTCTATCTTGGATGTGTAAAGCTGCTGTTCTGGGTCCATGTCAATTTTCTGTTGTTGTCATTTTGTCCAATGAAGAGTCTCAGATTCTTAAATTACATGAAAAATATGAAATATACTGCTTAAGAACTATGTAAATGTTCTTTTTTGTAATTTAATCTTTTAATTGGGTAGTAGAAAGTGCGTTCAAATATCGTAAAAGCTAGGAAATACACTCTTTAAAAAACCATGTAAATATTGTTATTGTAGTTTAATCTATCATTTAATTTGTAGAAATTTTCTTAAATTACCTGAAAAGTATGAAATCGTAAAAGTATCGTAAAAGCTACGAAATACACTCCTTAATAATCATGTAATAATTGTTATTGTAATTTAAATGTATTATTTGGTTGGGAGAAATGCTCAAAAGTATAAAACATACTTCTTAAGAACTATGTAAAGTTTCTTATTGTGATCAAATCTATCATTTAGTGAGTAGAAAGTTCTCAAATATGGTGAAGACTACAAAAAATACACTTCCTATAACAACTAGGTTATTGTATGTTATTATTGTAATTAAATCTATCAATTGATTTGTAGAAATGCTCTAAAGTATAGAAAATACTTCTTAAGAACTATGTAAAGTTTCTTATTGTGATCAAATCTATCATTTAGTGAGTAGAAAGTTCTCAAATATGGTGAAGACTACAAAAAATACACTTCCTATAACAACTAGGTTATTGTATGTTATTATTGTAATTAAATCTATCAATTGATTTGTAGAAATGCTCTAAAGTATAGAAAATACTTCTTAAGAACTATGTAAAGTTTCTTATTGTGATCAAATCTATCATTTAGTGAGTAGAAAGTTCTCAAATATGGTGAAGACTACAAAAAATACACTTCCTATAACAACTAGGTTATTATTGTAATTAAATCTATCAATTGATTTGTAGAAATGCTCTAAAGTATAGAAAATACTTCTTAAGAACTATGTAAAGTTTCTTATTGTGATCAAATCTATCATTTAGTGAGTAGAAAGTTCTCAAATATGGTGAAGACTACAAAAAATACACTTCCTATAACAACTAGGTTATTGTATGTTATTATTGTAATTAAATCTATCAATTGATTTGTAGAAATGCTCTAAAGTATAGAAAATACTTCTTAAGAACTATGTAAAGTTTCTTATTGTGATCAAATCTATCATTTAGTGAGTAGAAAGTGCTTAAATATCGTAAAAACTACGAAATACACTTCCTATAACAACTAAGTTATTGTATGTTATTATTGTAATTAAATCTATCAATTGATTTGTAGAAATGCTCAAAAGTATAAAACATACTTCTTAAGAACTATGTAAAGGTTTTTTATTGTAATTAAATCAATCATTTAGTAAGTGGAAAGTCCTCAACTATAGTGAAAACTACGAAATACATTTCCTATAACAACTAAGTTGTTGTATGTTATTATTGTAATTAAATCTATCAATTGATTTATAGAAATGCTCAAAAGTATAAAACATACTTCTTAAGAACTATGTAAAGTTTCTTATTGTGATCAAATCTATCATTTAGTGAGTAGAAAGTGCTCAAATATAGTGAAGATACGAAATACACTTCCTATAACAACTATGCAAATTATCCTTAAGATAGAGGTTTCCTGGCCAGCATTCATTTATCTGTGAAAAAATAGACACTTCAGCCAGTTAGAGTTTTTTATTTTCTCAACGTTTCGACAAAAATATTTTGTCTTCGTCAGGAGAAGTAAATAAAAATAAAACATTTTCTCCTGACGAAGACAAAATATTTTTGTCGAAACGTTGAGAAAATAAAAATAAAACTCTAACTGGCTAAAGTGTCTATATTTTACAGAAATATGTAAATATTATTATTGTAATTTAATCTATCATTTGGTTGGTATAGAGAGGGTCTCTCAAATATCATGAATACACTCCAAATCAACCATGAAAATATTCTTAAAATGTATAAAATATATCAATTGGTGAATAGAAAACGCACTCAAATATCGTAAAGATACAAAATTCACTCTTTAACAACCATTTAAATACAATATAATGCGGCCTATGATTGTAGAACGACATTTGAAAATTATCCCGCATGTGTTTCTTTTGAACGAAAAATCGTAATTTATTTTAAGGAGAAATAACTATTATTTCTAACATTAGGGATGAAGTATGAAAGGATGAATTGTGAAGAGTAATGATGAACGGAAAAATAAAGTGTCCAGGGTAGCTTAGTGGACAGGCATCTACCCGGTAAGCGGAACACTGTGGGTTCGATTCCCATCCCTGGACACTTTTATTTTTCCGTTTATCATTACTCTTCACAATTCATCCTTTCATACTTCATCCCTAAAGTTAGAAATAATCGTTATTTCTCCTTAAAATAAATTCCGATTTTTCGTTCAAAAGAAACACATGCGGGATGGTTTTCAAATGTCGTTCTGCAATCATTTAAATGTTCTTATTGTATTTAATCTAACAATTTATAAGTAAAAATGCTCTTAAATTTCATGAAAAAACCTTCAGAATAACTCTTTAACAACCACATGTAAATGTTATTATTGAAATTAAATCATTATTTAATGGTTTTATAAATATATTCTCAAAATACTTCAATCTACATAGTTTTCTATTCCTTTTCATATCTCAATTAAATCTATTAAATCTATGCAAATTTGTTGTATATATATTAATTAAGTGTTACCACAGAGTATGTGTAAGCTCACATGTAAATAGGCGCTGACCGAAAGAAAAAAAAGTTCCTTTGTTTTAATATTAGTTTCCCTTTTATATTTTGTTCTCTCTCTTGTAAATCAATAAATATAATGTTTGATTAATCTTCTTGGAATCAGTTTCATTAAAAAATCTAAGCAAAGTCACTTTAACTGCTGGAATGCCCATTCTTCTTTACCGCTAGACAACAGACAATGTTGTAGATCTATATCAATTTGTAAATAGCAGAGAGAATTATCATAGATTTAACTATTTTTGTAAATATATTTATGATTATCTTTCTAACCTGAAAGGTTCAGGTTCCTAATATAATTGTTTCTCTTTTTTAATTTTTGATTACTTTTTCTTGTATAATATATTTATAACTGTTTCTGTTTAAAAAAATTTAAATCGACGCAATTATCTCTAGCCAGGGTATCGCGTTTTGTGTGTTGAAATATAAAAGTCAACAGAATTTAGTAAAAAATGTTCAAATATTTGAAAGGTCATACCATAAATTTATTAGAGAAACCACCAATCTTAATAAAGCCATTTATAAATATGAATACTCTTATACAAAAACACAACCACCACCTACAAAAATAAATTACATAGAAAATGTAATATTTGCATATCTAATTAATACGATATAGTTATTTTATAATTGGCTGATGATTAAAAAAAATGTTTTTGGAAGTTGAAAGCATGGGTTTGTCCATAGGGACCTTGGTATATAATGTTATGTACATAAATCTATGATAACCATGGAAACAATGGGCTACCGTAATTACTTTGTTATTGTTTGGAGGTCTTAGTATTGGTGGTGTATTCTTGGTCGGAACAAGATTGGCATAGTTTCCTGCCCCACCCCGTATTTATATAAACTTTATTAGTGATTGACTAGCGAGATATAATTTAGCTAAATATATATGTTAACCTCGTCGTATTCTTATGATAAAAATAGCAATTTTTCAAATAAAAGATACTTCGGCTAGTAAATCTTTTTATTATCTCGACGTTTTGACAAAAATCTTTTGTCCTCGTCAGGAGCGAACAAAAATTAAAACATTTGGCAAAGTGTTAGAAAAATGCTCCTGTTCGCTCCTGACGAGGACAAAAGATTTTTGTCGAAACGTCGAGACAATAAAAAGATTTACTGGCTGAAGTGTCTTTTATTTGAAGAACTATGAATACCGGCCAGGCAGCCTCTATCTTTACGAAAGATACCAATATTACAATAGACGGAATTGCAGAATATCATTGCTTAGAAGCGACCAAAAGTAAAAGTGACGAATTTCTTTCTTTCTTTTTTTTTTTAAATTATCCCTAGTACACGTGGTACAGGTCATGATAATCATGGTGGGTAGAAGTTGGCGATTGCTTTTATTGTAAGTGCACCACATTCTATATACAGTTACGAGCGTCATTCTTCATCTCTGTCACCGTTTGCTTTTTTTTTTGGAATGGCGCCCTCCTATTGGTTGGCTACGATCACGCCACCTTCCCCCCCCCCCCCCATCATGCCACCCCCACTCGCTTTATCGTTTATGTAACTATTGTGTTGGAACGGGTCGCTCCTTAAATAAATGCATATATTAGTTAATAACTAAATGGAATCCTCTCTTTCTTTTTCCCAGTATGAGACGCCTACGGAAGCCAACAGTACATAGACAGATAAAGCACATAGGCTATAGGTATTAACTAATATATGCATTTATTTAAGGAGCCAAATTATAATTGTAACAAATAGTATTTGAATCAAAACATTCAATCGGGTAAAACACGGGCGTTGCCCGGGTCATTCGGCTAGTGTCTACATAAGTGTAAAGCAGTTCGACTTTTTCACTTACAAATGTGCCAGAGCCCCGTTTTGGTTACTTGCACTCGCTAGTGGGGTTGGACTTTTGCAAGAATCGGGGGCCATTGGAGCATTTTTTTACCAATTAGAAAAAAAGTTTCCAATGCGGTATTCTATCCCTGGTCGTAACGTTCGAAAACCAACGGTTTAGACCATCCTTTCACCGATCCTCTTTCTTTATTAAAGAGATGTAAGTTTGGCGAGCTTTCAGACAATAATATCCTTCAACAAGCTGTAATACGAACACAAGAAACTAAAGGAGAAACTACTCTGAATTACTCTGTAATTATCAGTGAATTTTTTAACCACATTTACCATGATTTAGTTCAATTACTGAAAGGAAGTGTTGGCAAAACCTGTAACTATGGGTGAAGGATTGATTCTGGGGCCAGGTCAGTCGGGCAAAGGTTGAAAGGCTGGCGTGCACCGTGAAGGCGTGTTGATTTCGGTCAAATATACCTGATCTGGTATTTCTTTCAAGACATTCTTGAGCTGCACGGTCGACCCATAAGTGGCACGGACAATGGAATCCGACTGTCTAATTAATTGTAGAAGAAATATACAGAACATCAGCTTCACACACCCAAGATAGAGAACATTGCTGTGATAGAGATGTATGAAGACATCTGAGGCTCTTCATTGGCAACATAACAGAAAATTGACATGGACCCAGAACAGCAGCTTCACACACCCAAGATAGAGGACATTGCGACTGCTGTGATAGAGATGTATGGAGACATCTGAGGTTCTTCATTGGACACGATAACAGAAAATTGACATGGACCCAGAACAGCAGCTTCACACACCCAAGATAGAGGACATTGCGACTGCTGTGATAGAGATGTATGGAGACATCTGAGACTCTTCATTGGACACAACAACAACAGAAAATTGACATGGACCTAGAATAGCAGTTTTACACACCCAAGATAGAGGACATTGCGACTGCTATGATAGAGATGTATGGAGACATCTGAGGCTCTTCATTGGACATGACAACAACAACAGAAAATTGACATGGATCCAGAACAGCAGCTTTACACGCCCAAGAACATTGCGACTGCTGTGATAGAGATGTATGGAGGCATCTGAGACTCTTCATTGGACACAACAACAACAGAAAATTGATATGGCCCAGAACAGCAGCTTTACACACCCAAGATAGAGGACATTGCGACTGCTGTGATAGAGATGTATGGACACATCTGAGGCTCTTCATTGGACACAACAACAACAACAGAAAATTGACATGGACCCAGAACAGCAGCTTTACACGCCCAAGATAGAGGACATTGCGACTGCTATGATAGAGATGTACGGAGACATCAGAGGCTCTTCATTGGACACGACAACAACAACAGAAAATTGACATTGATCCAGAATAGCAGCTTTACACACCCAAGATAGAGGACATTGCGACTGCTATGATAGAGATGTACGGAGACATTAGAGGCTCTTCATTGGACACGACAACAACAACAGAAAATTGACATTGATCCAGAACAGCAGCTTTACACACCCAAGATAGAGGACATTGCGACTGCTGTGATAGAGATGTACGGAGACATCAGAGGCTCTTCATTGGACACAACAACAACAACAGAAAATTGACATTGATCCAGAACAGCAGCTTTACACACCCAAGATAGAGGACATTGCGACTGCTGTGATAGAGATGTACGGAGACATCAGAGGCTCTTCATTGGACACAACAACAACAACAGAAAATTGATATGGACCAAGAGCAGCAGCTTTACACACCCACAATAGAGGACATTGCGACTGCTGTGATAGAGATGTATGGAAACATCTGAGGCTCTTCATTGGACACGACAACAGCAACAAAATAGAACTATGTAGCCCAAATGTTTCTTTTACAAACTTAGCTTACTACTGTCATTACTGCGATTTTAAAAATAGTAGCAAGGCTTGGTTAATCATGGTAAACAATCCACAACGGTTTCGTCAAATTTTATTTATTAAACCGCTTTTAAGAACTCTAATAGTGTATTGAACGATTATGCTTATATGAGATACTGAAGTACGGAATCTTGGTTATGATATTTTCTCAAATTATACAAGATTTAGAAGCTCTATCGAGCTTTTTTTATAGAAAGTTTGTTTTGTTTGTAAAAGAAACACATCACACATCAATTCGTGTTTTATAGTTCTATTTTTTATGTATAGATGGCGCGCGTTATTGCTTTATAATTAATTGTAGGTTATATTGGCTAATATCTACCTAATACAATAGTAGATGTGTCCGGAGAATAAACTGACTGGGAGGGTTCACCAGTGATGATCCACGCGATCCTATTAATATTCGTGTTTCATTACCGAGAAAAATCTGTTAAAAAAATATTTTTATTTATTAATGTATTGCGTTTAAAATTCCGAATTACCATACCTATAACCTTTCATAAAAGATAAAAAGATAACAGACTCATTTCGATAAATTGGAGTCGAAATGAAGAAGAAAATGATTTAAATAGTAGCTCCTTATCAGTACTTATACTCATGGACAAGACTTAAGGAAGTGGAAAGTCTTTGATATCGCCGGTCGTCTTTTTTTTTTTTTAAGAAGACGGAGGCACTTTTGTTTACATTTGGTTATCTCTTATGTCTTCAATAAAGGTCACCGTGTATCAAATATCTTTCAGAGTTATTGTCTAAATCCCGATATACATGCTAAAAGGTACAACTTCCTTAAGTTTTGCCCATG